CTGTGAGTTTCGTCCTCACCGTTGACCTTCCGTGGTGTCGCAAGGCAGTGGTGACAGCTCGCGGAGGCGTCTGCTTGCACCGGTGTCTGAAGAAGACAGGACTTGTTTATTCTGCAGCGTCTCTTACGATGGGCTTCACGGAAGCCCCGTAGTGAACTTCACCTGCGAGTCTCGCTCAGAGATAGTCATTTTCCCATCTCTTGTTGTTGAGAGGTTTTTTCTGTAGGGCTCATGCACTCGCTGGAGCGACAGACATAGACAGAGGAAGTGAGAAATCACCCCCCGGGGGAATGGCCACGCTGCCATTCCTTCTCCTCCATTCTCCTCTCAGGATCAGAATCAGGCACCACGCACACACTCCTGGTGTCAGTTTTTTTAAGTCGCTGGGTCCAGGACTCGAATCGTGGTTGACTGTGTGGGAGTCCAGCAATGTAGCCATTACATCATCTGCTGGTCCCTTAATGGTGACTTGCTTTCTCACTTTCCCTCCCTCCCTCTTTCTCTCTCTCTCTCTCTTTCTTCTCTCAGAGATTTTTGTTACAGGGTCCATGTATACTCTAGACAGGCAGAGAGACAGCAAGAAATCACCCGAGGATAGATGGCCATGCCCCAGTTTCTCCTTCATTCTCCTTTTGGGATATTGGGCACACACACACACACGCACACACACACACACGCATGCACACACATATCTAGTGTAGAGACAGAAAGCGAGAAATCACCCCCCAGGGGCGATGGCCACGCCACAATCCCTTCTCCTCCATTCTCCTCTTGGGATCTTGGGCACGCACGCACATGTGCCCGGCGTCAGTTTAAGCCACCTGCTCCGGGACGTGAACCGCGGTCGACTACATGGGAATCCAGCGACACAGCCATTACGCTAACTGCTGGTCCTTGCTTTTATTTTTTTTTTTAAGAGAGATTTTTGGTATAGCGCATGTGTGCACAGTAGAGACAAGAGACAGAAAGCAAGAAATCACGGGGGGGCGGGGGGAGAAAGCCACGCCGCAATCCCTTCTCCTTTCTCCTCTTAGGATCTTGGGCACGCACGCACACTCGCCCACTGTGTGTTAAGCCGCTGGGTCCGGAACTTGAACCACGGTAGTCTACATGGGAGATTAACGACATAACCAATACGCCATATGCTCGTCCCAATTTATTATTATTTTTTAATTTGAGAGAGAGAGTGAGAAAGCAAGCCTCCAGGTCCGGGACTCAAACTAGGGTTGGCCATGTGGGCGTCCAGTCCCTTCACCACCATGACACCTGCTAGCCCCAGGGTGTGTCCATTTAAAGCAATGCATAGAACCGCAATAAAAATATGTAGTAACCATTTCGGGATAACGGGGCTGGGGGGACTCCAGAGGGCCGGGGTCGCGGTGAAGAGATGGGAGGGCACAGCCACCTTTAAACGCCCTGTCATGGCTGTCACACTGTGCAGCTCTGACAGGGAAGGAAGGGAAGGAGGCCGGGGTGGGCCGGTGCCCAGCGTGTAAGCGTGTTAGGAACCGAGGACTGTGACTGCCCTGTGTACCTGAGGCCCAACTAGAACGTGCACGTTGATGCTTCTCCTCGAACCCCCGACCTGACCAGACTCGGGCTTTCTGACCTTGTTCTCCGCGGGGCGGCGGTGCCCGCTCTGGCCACCAGGGGGCGGCCGCTACCAGGCTCGAGCGCGGCAGGTCTCACGCCACCTGCGCAGTAGGTGTTTTTGCACCAGCTGTGGCCAGCTGGGAGGAGGCGGCACGCAGCTGCAGCTGTTGGCAGGGGACCCCGGGAGCTCCCCAGGGAGGGCCTCCGCCCACATGCTGACCCCGGGTTTCTAGAGGAAGCAGCTGCCTCGACTTCCTCGACTTCCCCAGAAGGTCCAAGACCTCCCGGACAGGGACAGGGGCGGGGGCCCACCCCGGGGCCTGCTGGCTGCATCCGCCCTGGGCCAGTTCTGCAGCCCGAAGCTGTCTCCGAAGCTTCTTTGGCAACATCTGAAATCGGGAAACGCTGAGCCTGAAAATGCCGATGTCCCTTGCCCTGCCTGTGTCATGCCTCCAGGGCTTGGCCAGCCGCCCCCTCCCCCGCACCCCTGCACGGCCTGGCCTGTGGCACCAGGGCCACTGTGAGAACCGAGGGAGTGGCCGCTTTGCACATGGTAACATTTAATTTTTTGCACAACTCCGTGCAGTTAATTATGGTCTTTTTAAAATTTATTCCCCATTTTCTTTTAAAAAAATGTTTTTGGAGAGGTTTTTGCTATGGCGCATGCGCTCACCAGAAAGCCCCCCCCCCTCCCAGGATGGCCACATCACAACCCCTTCTCCTCCATTCTCCTCTCAGGAGCTCAGGCACACAAGCACACACACTCAGCGTGAGTTTAAGCCACCTGGTCGGGGACTAGAACCACAGTCGACTACATGAGAGTTCAGCGACATAGTCATTACGCCAACTGCTGGTCCCATGTGTTCCCCATTTTCTATGTAGGTTGACAATGAGAAAAACCCGAAAACCCACCCCTTGTCTCAGTCCCCTTACCAGGTCCAGGGGCACTGGATATTCCTCGCGGGGTCTTTGTGAAGTCCTCTGGGGTCTGGGGGTCTTGCCTGCCCCAGCTGGGGCGCCTGCCCTTGCTCCGCCTGGTGCCAGCAGCTCCCTGGCTTCCACTTAAAGCAGAGAACTCTCCTTTTCCAATCTAAATCATACACAGAGCCCCATCGTATAAAGTAGCCACAGGGTAGAATAATGAATAGCCAGCGTTTATTTTGTTATTGCCCCAGGGCACGGAGGTGGGGAAGCACCCCTGGGGTGGGGTCACACATTGCATCTCCCCCATGTCTCATCCCCACAGCTTTCCCGTGTGGTCCCCGGGCGTGCTCCAGCCCCCTTCCCCGGGGGAGCTGTGGGCCTGCAGGAACTCGGGGTCCTCAGGGCTGCTACCATGGAGTCCGCTGAGAGCCATCTGAGAAGCCGGCGCCCTGCAGTGAGATCCTGGCAGCAGGGACCAGCAGGTGGCTCAGTGGTTACGTCCCTGCACTCCCAGGTAGTGGACTGTGGTTCGAGTCCCAGTCCTGGCAGCTTAAAACTCGTGCCCAGCGTGTATGCGTGCCTGCCTAAGATCCCCAGGGGAATGCGGTGTGGCCATCCCCCATAGGGTGATTTCTCTCTCTCTCTCTTGATCTGGCGAGCGCACTCGCCCCGTAGCAGAAATCTCTTACAAAAACAAAACAAAACACCACCACTGCAGCTCGCCTCACCCCCAGACACATGGGTGCTGCTCAGGCTTCTTCAGGGTGGAGACCTCGGGCTCCCCGAGGCAGCGGAGGGTCCCAGCAGCTGCCTCATCTTCTCCTGCACGGTGCTTCTGCACGGGGCCTGGACAGCCCTTCGGCCCAAGGATGCAGGACGGGAGTGGCCCGTGTCCCCGCCGGCTGTCGGTGACCGGTGACCAGTGACCGGAGTGTGTGCGTGGGCCTTGGGTAGAGTTCCCCCAGAGGCAGATCTCGGCGACCCGGAGGTGCCTCAGAGTTCAGAGGATGCAGCTCAGACACCCCCACCCAGGGGGAAGTGGTTTCTAAGGAGGGGCCCCTCCAACCGCTGTGTCCATGGCAACAGAAGTTTGCTTTTCATGTAGAAAAGAGGCCCGGGGTGGAGGCCCAGGGAGTGGCCGTGAGGGGTCTCCCCTCCCGGGGCCTCCCTGGGGCCTCCCTGGTGGCCTGGTGGAGGCCCGGGCTGAGGGGGCCCTTCTCGTGTCTCAGCACAGGCAGGACCAGCCCGGAGCCTCCCTCAGACTCGCTGGCTTCCTCTTCTGCACCTGTCTGCAGACCGCAGGGTGCAACAGCAGCAGCCCCAGAGGCCTGGGTGGAGCAGCGAGGGCCCAGGCCCAGGAGACAGCCAGGCCAGGGGTCAGCTCCAGCCCCAGCTCCAGTCCCTTAGCCCTTGCCTGCTCTACCACCAGTGCCTTCAGGAGCAATGCTCCCTGGAGAGCCTCCTGGAGGAGGCAGCCCTATTAGGCCACCCTGCTTCAGAGAACCTCATGGGCACTGTCACTGGAGCCTGGCAGAGGAGTGATCTGTCAGTCTGGAGAGAGGCCCCCCAGGGGGCGGGCCCACCTTCCCCTTCCACTCCAGCTCCCCCAGGGCGAGGCAGACCCAGGCCCTGCTGGCCGGGAATGGCTGCCTGGGGGTGGTGGGCAGCCCGGCACTGGCCCACCCCTTGCCGCCATGGGCCTGCGCTGACTCCCAGTCTTTGGGGTGGGCCCAAGTCCCCGTCCTTCCGGCCACCCGCCTCCCCACACCTCCCCTGGGAGGCCCTGTGGGGTAGCCCTGGTCCGGGAGCTGGGGTGGGGGCTGGGAGCTGTCACACAGGCACTGCTGCTCCAGGGACCTGGTTAGGGAAGGTGAAGCCCACACTCTACCCCGCCCACGGCCTGCACTGCTCAGCTGCCAGAGGTGCTGGCCTCTGTCGGGCTGCCATTCACCACTCTGGCGAGGGGTTCCTTTTTGTTCTTTGGGCTATGGAGGGTCCTGGCTAGAAGGTCCTGTGAAAATCCTGACAAATACACAGCAGAAAACTTAACGCTGGAGACTAGCAGATGGCGTAATAGTTATGTTGCTGCACTTCCACGAAGTCGACAGCAATTCTAGTCCCGGACCCGGTGGCTTAAACTTCACTCTGGACGTGCGTGCGTGCGTGCCAAAATCCCGAGGGGAGACCGGAGAAGGGACTGTGGTGTGGCCATCCCCCGTGGGGGGTGATTTCTTGCTTTCTGTCTTTCCAGCAAGTGCATGCGCTTTATACCAAAAATCTCTCTCTCTAGAAGAAAAAAAAGGCTGTGGCCACTCTCAGGTTGGGGTGTGGTTTGCAGTGGCACTGGGCACGTGGCCTGTGTGCCACCAGCTGCAGGGGCCTCTCCAGCCCTGTTCACCGCCCCACACCCAGACTGCGCCCGTTAAACCCAGCCCCCACTCCCCCGGCAGCCCCACCCTGCTTCCTGGTCGTTCGAGTGCTCCAGGTACGTCCTGACAGGGGCCCACACAGACGGCCCGTGTCTCACCAGCGTGTCCTCAAGGTCGTCCGTGTTGGAGCATGTGGTGGGCACTTTTCCTTTCCGGGGCTGCCTGGATGGCTCCAGTGTGCTGCGTCCCCCTCGGTGACCAGTGCCAGCCCCACATACATGCGCCCTGAGAGCCCAGTGTCTGCTGTCCCCTCCAGGGCTGGGCACCGACCCCGTGGGCCCAGATGGTGGGGGGGGGTGGTGGTGGTGTTTCTATGATTTTTTTTTTAATTGCCAGAGGATACATGTTCTCACGAGAGAGAGAGAGAGAGAGATACAGAGACAGAGAGAGGAGAGGAAGGGAGAGAACACCCCTCTCTTGGGCTGGGGTCATGCTGGAACCCTTCTTTCATTGTCCCGTCCTAACAGGATTTGGGCACACAGATTCCCAGGGTGTCTCAAGCTGCTGGGGCTGGGATTTGAACCATGGGTAGCCATGTAGGACCTGGTTCCACACAGAGCTTAACCACTGTGCGGTAAGGCCGACTCTATCTTGTACTTTTTAATTTTTTTTTTTGATAAGTTTTTCACTATAGGGTACGTGCGCTCGCCAGACAGACAGAGATAGACAGAGAGACAGAAAGCAAGAAATCACCACCCGGGGGGGAATGGCCATGCCGCAATCCCTTCTCCTCCATTCTCCTCTCAGGATCTTGGGCACGCACGCACACGTGCCCGGTGTGAGTTTTTTTTTTTTTTCTTCTTCTTTTTTTGGAGAGGTTTTTGCGATAGGGTGCGTGCGCTCGCCAGACAGACAGAGAGAGACAGAGAGGTCCAGGACACGAACCGTGGTCGACTACGTGGAAGTCCAGCGACATAGCCATTACGCTAACTGCTGGTCCCTTGTACTTTTTAATTTTAATTAATTAATTTATTTATTTTAGAGCATGTGCACTCCCTGGTTAAAGACAAAGAGGGAAAGTGAGAAATCATCCCCCCGGGGGAATGGCCACACCACAATCCTTTCTCTCCATTCTCCTCTCAGGGGTTTGGGCACGCGCACACACGTACCTGGCATGATTTTCAAGCCACCAGGTCCAGAATTCAGCTGTGGTCATCCATGTGGGAGTTCAGCGATGTAACCACCACCTCTTGTACAGTTTTGTTAAAAAATTTTTGTCAAAGTTTTTGCTATATGGCTTGTGCATGTGCCAGACAGACAGAGAGAGACAGAGAGACAGAAAGCGAGATATCACCCCCCAGGGGGGATGGCCACGCTGCAATTCCCTCTCCTCCATTCTCTTCCTGGGATCTTGGGCACGCACACACATGCGCCCGGCGTGAGTGTAAGCCACCAGGTCCAGGACTCGAACTGTGACTACTTGGGAGTCCAGCGACACAGCCACTGCGCCAACCGCTGGTCCCTCTTGTACAGTTTTTAATGTATACTTAGTCTGTCTTCTGTAATATCGACTTGCTCATTTTGGAAGGGGCTTTGAAGCATAGATTGAGGGCATTTGCCAGACACAGCCTTGAGTGGGAGGCGCTCAGGCCTGGTGTCACAGACGTCTAGCCCAGTACGAAGTCCTGTGCAGCTGGCTAAGTCAATATTTTATTAAAAAACCCACCCACACACATAGGCTGGTGGCAGAGGCAGAGACAGGAAGAGGAGGTGCGTGACCCCCTCCTCGGGGACAGGGTGACCACATAGTGTTCCTACAGGCCCGCCCCATGACGGAAGAGGGCATCTTCAAGACCGCGTGGACAAGCTCAATAAATAGGGCGTGGCTTTGTTCCCGTGGAGGACTCACAGCGGCTTCACTCCCCTGAGACTGTGCACGCGAAGCAGTTTTATGCAGGAATGTTCAGGAACCCTCCACTGGGTGAAGGAGGGTTGGTACCTGAGGTGGCTCTAAAAGCAGGGACAGAGAAGCCAGAGTCCCTTCGAGGCTGCTGTCCTTTCCCAGAGGAGGAGGAATATTCTCCAGAGAAAGCCTGGGCATGTGGCTCCAGCCAGCTCAGGAGCTCAGGGAACAGCATCCTGGAAACACAGGAGGAGGTGCAGTCCTCTGTCTGGGGCCCAGCCCGAGCTGGGCTTTGGCATGGAACACGCGTCCAGAGCCTTGCTGGCCACAGCCTCCTGTCCGGGTCCATGTCCTGCAGAGCCTGCCAAGGCCTGGAGTCAGACGGCTGCATCTTGGGGAGGAAACGACAATGTCAGGACAGGTTGGTGGGGACGGCGCCCACCCTGAAGCTACATGCCAGGGGCTGGACCCCACGTCCTTCATGGTGCACGTCCCCCTGCCCATCCACAACTCTCACTGCAATTGTTTTATTCTTCCTAAATAACAGTTTTTTTGAGAGAGAGGTTTTTGCTACAGGGCATGTGTACTCGCCAGAAAGACAGAGAGACGGAAAGTGAGAATCACCCCCCAGGGGGGATGGCCACGCAACGATCTCTCCTCCTCCATTCTCTTGGGCATGCACGCACATGAGCTCAGTGTGAGTTTAAGCCACAGGGTCCAGGACTCGAACCGTGGTCGACTACATGGGAGTCCAGTGACATAGCCATTAGGCTAACTGCTGGTCCCTTTAAATAACATTTCTAAAAAACAAACAAAAAAATTAACCAGTGCAGAGGGGATTGCTGTCCATACTCCTCCTACCTCAGTTTAATTTCTCAGACGTTAACACCTTGGCCTATTTCTTTTGATGAGTCCTCCATAATTTTGAGTCTATTTATATCAGTATTTATAGATTTCTCACCTCTAGTCATGGCCTATTAACTGTTTTGTTTTCACATTCTCCACTGTTTTTGTTATGTAGTTTCCTTTTTTTCCTTAAATAGCTTTACTGAGATAAAATTCACATACCAGGCAATTCACCCATTTAAAAGTGTACAGGCCACTGGTTTTCAGTATAGTCCATCAACACAGTTGTAGAACATTTACATCACTCAAAGAGAAACTCCTCACCCATTGGGGGTCACCGTCAAACCCCTCCTTCTCCCGCCAAGGCAACCACTGAGCTGCTTCCTGTCTCTGTGGATTTGACTATTTGGGCTTTTTTTTTTTTTTTTTTAATTTGTTAGTGAGCAGGTGCACATGCCAAAGACAGAGACACAGAGACAGAGAGACAGTAGCCCCATTTCTTCATCCTGTCGGGACCTCGGGCTGCATACGTGGCCGGCGTGTTTTTCCTGTCTTTCACGGGATTTGAACTGCAGTCAGCCATGTGGGATCAGGCTCCCTTAACCAACAGAATCTGGGCATTTCTTTCTTAAAATTTCTTTTCTTACTAGTTTTTGCTTTAGGGCACACGTGCTCACCAAGACAAAGAATGAGAGAGGGAGAGAGGGAAAGTGAGAAATCACCCCCAGAGGGGATGGCCACACCACAATCCCGTCTCCAGGCTCCTCTTGGGATTTTGGACATGCACGCACATGCGCACGCACCAAGTGTGTTTCTGAAGCCACCAGATCCCAGACCTGAACAGTAAAGTCAGCCCTGTGGGATCCAGTGTGCCCCCCAGCCGCTACTCCATGCCACTGGCTAGCCCAATTTTTTTTTCTTTTCTTTTTTTCAGATTTTTTTGTTTGTTTGTTATAGGGTATGAGTACTTGCCAGAGAGAAACAGAGAGACAGAAAGCAAGAAATCACCCCCGGGGGGATGGCCACGCTGCAATCCCTTCTCCTCCATTCCCCTGTCATGATTATGGGGTACACACACACACTCTGTCAACCATGTGGGAGCCCGGCACCCTAACAACCACCCTACCTGCCGGCCCCTACGACATTTCTTTTTTAAACCCAACAATATGAATGCTCTCGAATAGGAGACAAGTTAAATAAACAGCCTTTCTGTCATGCAACGGAGTCAATGCATTAAGAACGATGGCTTAATTAGGAACACATTTTGAAAGATAATTAGGAAAAGAGCAGGTTAAAAAGTGCACATGAAGTATGGGGGCCAGCAGCTGGTGTGGTGTATGGGGCGCTGGATCCCTCATGGCTGACTCCACAGTTCAAGCCCTGGACCCAGCAGCCTGGGAGACACATCCGATGTGTGAGTGCCCAAGGTCCTGGGGGGAGAATGGAGGAGAGGAGTCTGGTGTGGCCATCCGCCCTGGGGGGGCGATTTCTCATGTTTTCCCTCTCTCTCTGTCTCTCTCTGTTTCTCTATGGCAAAAATCTAAATAAAGAAAGTGCACATAAAGTATATTAAAAAAAAAACAAAAAAACAGGGGCCAGCAGGTGGCGTGGTGGTTAAGGGCGCTGGACTCCCACATGGCTGACCACGGTTTGAGTCCCGGACTTGGTGGCTTGCTTTCTCACTTTCTCTCTCTCTCTCTCTGTCCCACTCTGGTCAAATTAAAAATAAATAAGTAAATAAATAAAGTTAAATAAAATAATTCTTTAAAAAAAAAACTAACAAAATACAAATAAATTTATTTCTTTAAATACATTTCCAAAGAGGAAACTCTGGAGTGACACACACTCTCGGTGCTAATTTCTGTAATCTGAGGGCAAATTTAAGATTCCTTTCTTACCTGTTTTGTTTTTTTTGTTTCTAAGAGCGCCTTATTTTTGTCATTAGGAAATTTACTAAAAGAAAACAGGGTGCTGGCCTCATAGCCTAGTGTTTAAGGGACTTGCATCCCACATGGCCAACTACGGTTCAAATCCTGGCCCTGGAAGTCTGAAACACATGCATATGTGTGGCCCGTCCAAAATCCTGCAGGATGGAGAAATGGGGAGGGGGCTGTGGCACGACCACTTCCCATTGGGGGTGCTCTCTCCCTCTCTCTGTCTCTCCAATCTCTCTCTGGTGAGTGCATAAACCCTCTGGCAATAATTTGAAAATGAAAAATAAAACGGGGCTGGCCCATAGCACAGTGGTTAAACAGCATGCATTGGGAGCTGGAGTCCACATGGCTGACTGTGGTTCAACTCCTAGTCCCAGCCACATGAAAAACCCTCGGGATGCGTTAGCCTGCCCCGAATCCTGATGGGGACGTGAGGGGAAAAGGGCTGTGGCCTGCCCCGCTGAGGATGCCCTGCCTTGCTCTCTGGTGAGCGCATGTGCCCACTGGTAATTTAAAAAGAAGAAAAAAAAAAAGAAGAAGAAGAAGGGAGATGATGTTTCATCAGAAGCTGAAATGTGAGGGCACTCCTGGGGCATCTCTGAGCATGTGGAGACGGGAGAAGGGCAGAGACTCTGGGGTCTTTCTTTCGGCCAGGCCCGTGCTCTACCACCATCTCCTCAGCTGCGGAGTCGTTCCTATTATTATTATTATTGTTATTATTTACCAGAGGCTGTGGGGTGCTCACCAGAGCAAGAGAGAGGGAGAAGAAGAAAGTACCCCTCCCGGGAGTGGTCGCGCCGCAATCCCTTCTCCAGTTCTTCCTCTTGCCGGATCTTGGGCATGCCACTCACCTTCCCCAGTGGAAGTCCAGAAGAAACCTCCTGTTCCCGAGCTGAAGGGACTTGCAGAGACCCGTGCCCAGACCCCAGCACTCACCTGCTGCCTGCGGCACGCATGAGATCTTGTAGGACAGCCACACGCTCACCATGCACAGGAAGGTGGCCACAAACCCGAAGATCTGCAGTGGAGGGAGGGGAGGGAGCTCACGGCACGGCTGACCACGGCCTGGTCTGTTCCCCATCGCTGCTCCCCGGTGCTGCCTGGGGCTGGACGGGAGCTGGAAACACCCCCCCACCCCCAACCCGGCTCGGGTGCCAGATGGAGCCAGGGAGGCCCAGGGCCCCTGGGTAGGCCGCAGAGCCACCCTCGGCCCTCTCACTCAAAGCAAACTTGGTGCCTGGGTTTTTATTTATAATAGTACCGAGTTTGGGCCAAGCCACTGTTACGGGATTACCCTGGACTAAGAAAGGAGAAAAAGGTGGAGTTGTACATTTCAGTTTGGGTTCACGTGTTTCTAACGTCCGTGTGACTTTACCGGGAGGGGGCTGTGTGCGGGTCCCGGGCTCCGGCTCTCTACTCCGCTCCAGCTCCCCAGCCGGGGCGAGCCGAGGGCAGGCCCGAAACCTAGCTGTGCACCCCACGGGTCTAAGCAATGGCAGAGACTCCACGAGGCGTTGTCCTGTCCTTTCCTCGGTGTCTACTCGGTGTCCCCAGCGAGGGAGGCCGACCTAGCTTCCCCCGACCTCTCCTTTGTGGAGGAACGGGGTTCCCGGAGAGGAAGAGGGCTTTGGGGGTACTAAAGTCAGGGAGAGATAGGCACAGACCCTGGGTCTTTGGCGCGCTGAAGCCGAGCCGTTTCCTGAACGACACCGGCAGCTGCAGCAGCTACGATTTCCCAGGCACGTGTGAGTAGCTGCCAGGGTGCCAAGCCCTCGGGGCGTGCGGACTCCTTTAACCTGCACAACTCGGAGAGGGGGTGCTGTATCGCCTCACCCTCCTTGACAGCTAAAGAAAGTGAGCTGCAGGCCAACCACTTGTCTAAGGCCACGGAGTGCGCAGCGCCAGACACAGAGTCCATCCCAAGGAGCCTGACGGTGGCGTCCACCTCTGCCAATCTTACACTCCCCCGAGAGACAGAAAGCAAGAAATCACCCCCCAGGGGGGACGGCCACACTGCAATCCCTTCTCCTCCATTCTCCTCTCAGGATCTTGGGCACGCACGCACACGTGCCCAGCGTGAGTTTAAGCCACCCGGTCTGGGATTCAAACTGCGGTAGACTACATGGGAGTCCAGCGACATAGCCATTACGCCAACTGCTGGTCCCTACCTCTGCCATTCTTATTGCTGAGGTGTTCTCAAACTCCCACAAAAGGTCTCGGTCTGCGACGCCAGCTGGCGTTGGCAGGGTGGCCCAGAGCAGCCGGCTCAAGGGCAGGGTTCTCGGGAAGGCTTGGCTTTCTTTCCAAGGAGGACTGCTGTTGACACAGATGGGGGCCCCTCTCCAGCCCACACCCACTCCTCCCCGTCCCTTTCCTGGGCTCTTTGTAGGATTGTCTGCACCACATAATTAGCCCATTAGAGGCTGCCCTAGCCCCGCATGGCCTGTTCTCACAATTAGCACTTTCTACACCGCTGGCCAGCTGTCTGTGCTGCATAATGGAACAACCGACGCCGTCGCAGCACAACCCTGCCGGAGACAATGCCCGTGTGCTCGCTGCGCCGGCCTCGTCCTGGTCTCCTGCATGGCCACTATCTCACGGGCACGGCTGTATTATTAATGTCTCCAGCGTCCCCACAGCTCAGGTTTGGTCCTGGGCACGATGACGGTGCGGGATCAATGTGAGCTCCCGGGGTTGGGCTGGCGCGGCTGTGCGCACTCGAAACTGTGAAGCCCGGCGGGAGTCACCCTGTGGGCCCAGCACAGCCGGCATGGCCTGCCTTTGCCTCTTCCACCAGCCTGTACTGTCCAAATCTGGAGAGTTCTGTTAAGGTGTGTAAGTGACAGATAGTAACTATCACACACAGAGCTCTCCTCAGGTGGCATGGTGGTTAAGGTGCTGGACATTGCCACATGGCTGACCATGGTTCAAGTCCTGGACCTGGTGGCTTGCTTTCTCACTCTCTCTCTCTCTGGTCAAAATAAAAATAAAGTAAATGAATAAATAAAAATTAAAAATAATTAATTAAAAAAAAATTCAGTTTCAAGGGGCAAGCAGGTGGCGTGGTTAAGGTGCTCGACTCCCACACGGCTGATCACCGTTTGAGTCTCAGACCTGGCGGCTTGCTTTCTCGCTTTTCCCTCTCGCTCTGTCTCTCTGGTCAAGTTAAAAAAAAAATGATGAAATAAAATTTCAGATTTGAAGTCTTGCCTGCTGATCACTGAAGCAAACCAGTCCTGGCTCATGGGCCACTGAACTGTCAACAGCTAAATCAGAAACAAGATGACAGAAATCTCTGAATCTTCAAAAAATCACACACGCCCATCTACACGTGCACAGAGACATACACGTCCCCCGTGGCACTGCCTGTATACTTCCACCACTGGCACTCATGGCTACCAGACGGATCAGTTTTCACCTCTGAAAGGTACAGAACTGTTATTTCCTGACCTGAAGACTCTTAAAAACCATGAATGACGGGACCAGCAGATGGTACAGTAGTTACGTTGCTGGACTCCCACACAGTCAACCGCAGTTCGAGTCCCAGGCTGGTGACTTAAACTCACATCGGGCGTGTGTGCGTGTGTGCCCAAGATCCTGAGAAGAGAATGGAGAAGAAGGGATTGCGGCGTGGCTATACCCTTGGGGGGTGATTTCTAGCTTTTTGTCTCTTTGTCTCTCCGGTGAGCGTTGCAAAAATCATCTCTTGAAAAAAATTGTGGCTGGCAGGTGGCATGGTGGTTGAAGCATTGGACTCCCACACGGCTGACCATGGTTTGAGTCCCAGACCTGGAGGCTTGCTTTCCTCCTTTCCCTTTCTCTCTCTCTGTCTGGTCAAATTAAACAAATAATGATGATAACAAATGAAATACAATAATAATAATAAGTAAAAAACTGCAGATGGCAAAGCTAGGACTCCTGACAGCTATCACCAGTTGGTCACAGTGCCCATCCCTGGGGTGAAAGGGGCCCCCAAATCTTTTTCTGTATTGTGAAGACAGCCCAGAACAAGAGACCCGAGTGGACATGTGAATTAAACCTGCTCTCCCCTGGCTGAAGCAGTGGCTGTGGGAGAAGCCTGGGCCCTGGGCCTGGCCACTGGAGTCGCCAGGAGCCCTTACAAGCCACCTCTGACCCTCCCTGCGCTGTTGCCGGCTCGGTTAAGGCGGGTCTCCATTCTATGAAAGGAAGGCCCCAGAAACAGCCCCTCCGCTCCCCCACCAGCAAGAGAACGAGCATCTGAAACAGGACTTCCGCCTAAGCCCTCCCGAAGGTCTCACCGCGCCGGCCACCAGTCCGCTCTGGCTGTAGCTCTTGGAAGCGGCCACGATGGAGGCGACGAGGAGGAGCAGGGTACCGATTAAATAATGCAGGAGTTCCTGGGGGCAAAACAGAGCACAGCAGTGGGCGGGGGTCCGCCTCGGGTCCCTCCAGAGCAACTGGGCATCAGATGCAGTGAGATCCCCCAGGAGAGAGCGAGTCCGCTTCGCCCTCGCAGCGCCCCGGAGGGTGCGGGGTGCCCCTCGCCGGACCAAGCAGGAGAGGATGCAGCGCAGCCAGGAAGGAAGGGGCCGGGCCTGGGATCAGTCTAGACAGTGCCGTGCCTATGGCTGAGGCCACCAAGCAGCAAAAAGCGAGGGGCTCCTCGCCGTCCAGCAGCGTTTTCGCGAAGCTCGGGTGGAGAAGCCAAGCGCCTTAAACAGACGCGCGCCTTTCTCTTCTGCTCCAACGTCTGGGCCGGCCACGTGCTGGCTCCGTGGGGTGACCAGGGCGTCTTCCAGTCCGTGCACCGCCCCTCGGTGGAGCTGAGAGGCGTTGTTCTCGGGGATCCCTTGGGTTCAGGGTCAGCACCTGGAACCGGGTCAGTGGCGCCTCGCGGCTGTGCCCGTGGGTGTGCGGC